TAACAACCGAATTCCAATTAGACACGACTGCGATGGGATTTAAGTGCTCCTGATTGGATTTTCCTGTTTTCGTTTCAGCGTCCCAAATGACCTTCAGGTGCAAAAACTGCAGCCGAACATAGTTGAAAACTTCAGCAAGCCAAGGGAAAAGTAACGAATATCTTTATATATCTGGTTGCTCATGTGAAAAATCTGATTGGATATGGGCATATCCGCCAAATGGTAAACCAGGACCAAAAAAAATCTTCATAATCATCGTAATGCAGTGGAACCATAGCATATTTCATTTGTTTTGTTGAAGAAATTTCACTGAAAACTGAAAAAATTAACTTTTCCAAATTTACTTTCTTTTAAAGCATTTTATGTTTAATTATTTTGCAAGGAAAACATATCATTTGTACTTAATTCAATAAAAAAACAAATGGAGATATTTCCTTGGGAAAAGACTCGATAGAAAGCTACATGAATCCACTTTAAAGGTAAAGTTATTGCTTTAGAATATTCCGTCCCAATTCGCAGATTTTAGCATTTTACTAGATTAAGCCCAAGTCATCTTACATTTTGAGTACGTTTGCGACCGCTTTTTTTTCAATATTGTGAAAATGATAGCTCAATATACCCCATAATTTACACTAAGCAAAGAACTACCAAAATGCTATCAAAAAAAATTTTATTTCTCTTTTTATTTGCACTAAGTGCGTAAGCGACCCTTAGAAATGCCCATATGCTATTGAAAATTCATCTTTAACTGAACGAAAGATTTCGAAATTGATCCATAAATTATCCAGACACGAAAGTTGAGCATAATGACAATATAATAAAAAGGAGCGTCGGCACCCTGGCGATCTTTGGGCACGAGGACGTCATCGTACCCGTGTCTTAAAACAATAATGTAGAACTGTCACTGTTATAAATTTGTTAAATTCCTTATTTCTGTTGTTTCATGTAATTTTTTCCTTTGTTATTGCATGCTTTATAGCATAGGTTGGCTGATCAACGCTTAAATAAATATTAACACAAAAAAAAACTTAATATATACAAGTGGAATTTACATTTATCATATGTTTAAGTTATATTTTATATTAATAAAATATTAGCAAAGAGATTTTTGAACAATTCTTTTTGCAGTTACTATTAGTTTTGTTTGGGCAAACTTAAAGGGAAAAAAACTTTAAAAAGTAGACTTTCATAAAAATTCTGCATTTCCATTGATGCCAAAAAGTACATTAAGTAGGTTCAAATTATGAGTAGATTTAACTTTTGTTTTGTCAACATCATTGATCAGTATCACTGGCCGGGTCGAACTAGCCATGTCCGTCTATCCGTCTGTCTGTCCGTAGTATGAGCGCTGAGATATCGGAAACTATAAAATTTACAAAGTTCGGACTAGGCATGCAGATACTTGACGTTCTTGCGCTGCGCCGACTAACTCTGACAACACTAAAAACGGACTACATTTTTGTATTTTTTTAAATTTTGTAAACATTTTTGGTCTGATTATCAATACCCATATATGTATAGAAGCAAAAATAGTTTAACCCGACCCTTGAACAATTCAATAATAAAGTATCAAATCAGGATGCAGCGATTGCTCTATGCATATATCCGTCTCCCTCGCACTCCACTTAGCTGAGTAACTCGTATCTAAAAGTCTTAACTTTTCTTTATATCTCGAGTTTTGGTTGGTTATATCAATAATTATGATTTGGTCTACCAGGACCCCAAAAGAAAATATAATTTGAGGGAAAATAAAACAAATTTTCAAAGTACAGCATTCTAATTAAAGATTTTTTCTGATTATTTGTATATAAACAACTTGAAACCTCTTTTGAAAATATATTTAGAGCTGGTAATTTGAGAATCATTTTTTTTATTCAAACCGCCAGGACCTCAAAACAAAATAAAATTTGAGGGGAAAAAATGCAATTTTCAAAGTAAATAGTTCTAATTAAACATTTTATTAGATTATCCATATATCAACAACTTAAAACCTCTTTTAAAAATATTTTTTGAACTGGTTATTTGAGAATGATTTTTTTTATTTAAGCCGCATCTGTGTATAAATAGACCATTAGTTCGTATCCCAATCTGAAAACATTTTCATTAATTGCAAAAAATTATTTTTTTATTTCTTACAAAAACCATCAAGTAAAGTCGATTTCCTTATTATTTAGCGAATGATCCCAAACTCTGCAGTTTGTGTTCGTGCTGTTCGTTTTAATAAAATTATACGAAAACTAAGATTTTCCAATTGTCCAGTAAATCGTTAGATGAAATGTTTACTTTACTGAAAGAACAACAATATCAAGAAAAATAAATAGTTTTGTAATGGTTTTGGTTGTGATGTTACTATTTAGCGGTCCAAAAGCAAAACAATAACTGGTCATATCTTCATTTGTTTAGGTTTAAGCATTTGTCATAAAAATAAACAGTTTTCTACGCAAAAAACTGCGGTTACAGCTTATTTACTTGTTTTAAGAATTTTTTACATTTGAATTTAATGGCGATTTTTATCCTGCATTTATTTGTTTGGAATGTGAATGTGCGCTGCACGCAACACATGACTAACTTGAACAACAAACACAAAGGTAAAGTCAATTAATTGATTCAAAATAAGAGGAAGCGGCGGAAAAACAACTGCAAAAAACGGCAGAAAAAGTGGCGCTGTGAAAGTGCACAAAAACACACGGACATTGGTCGGCGGTGGGCGTGGCACTGCATTCGAATACGGCAGCCAACTTTCGTTTGAGGCCTTTGTCCGTGTGGGTTGTGTAAAAACGATAAGTGCAAAATTTAATTAAATTTCATTTCAGGCGCAAAAACCCTAGAGAAGAGCATCGCGCAGAGCTCGCACTGAAGTCCGCTACAAGCGAAATGCATTAAGCCCACGAGTTTTAATTAAATTATTATTAATCTCATTTGACTGCGTGCGTGTGTGTGGGTTAAGTCCGCCCGCACCTGACTCCGCCTGATAAAAAAGCGAGAAATTAAGTTTCATAAATAAACAAACCGAAATGGAGGAAAATCAAGTGGCAAAAAGTTTGACATGTCCCACAAAATATTCCTATCTGGGCCAAAAAGTTAACTGCCTGTGGTTGGCGGTTAGTGGGCGGTGGGTGGGTGGTGATGGTAAAAGCTGCCGAACAGTTTGACAGGCAAAATTAGGTCGTCTGAATTTTGAATGAACTCTAATTGTCCTGAAATGCGGCTAAAATTGTCAATATAACCGATTGCCACCGATTGAGGGCCCTGCCCACACCGCCCAGTTATCAACTGCACAATCCACTGATTATCGATTCGGATTATGCAAATCGTCATTAGTCCGCTCCATAATCAATTTGCCTTCACATTGACTAAATACTTTTTGTATATAACTTATATGGAGTGCATAAAGCTTCTTGCAGGTGTACCGAAAATGGAAACTTCAATGAAAGGCAAAAAGATTCTTGTTTTTAAAATTCTACAAAAACACTAGATTAAATATTTTCATTTTTAAAATCTTTAAATTAGTTATATGATTTATAAGCAAAAACAAGGCTTACCCAGATTGTATTGGACACATAGAGATAAATATTCAAGTAATTGTTCTTGAATTAAGAACATTCGTTCTTAAAACCCGTGTTAGTATATTTTGGTATCAATGTTTTTAATATTAGAAGGAATGTTAAAAACAACATATTGATAACTATGATGAGATATAATTGATGTTAACAAAAAAAAACGTTTTCAACTGCAAAAATGTCGTTCCATTTTTAAGAACATTTTCACCTAAAAGAAAACGTCAGAATTTTCTCTGAGTACATTAGAAAAAGCTATGTGATAACTTGACTATTTTCCAATAACTCTATTAAAAACGTTGTAGAGGTCATAATGCAACAAAATCTGTTCAGAATTTTCCGACTAAATTAAAATTAATTTTATATGGTATGTTTGTATATATCGAAGATAAGTAAAGTATGAAGTCCGATGTATATCATAACACTTTGAGATTAACGTTTTCGAATATATAAGTTCGCTAGTATCGGTCAATCAGCAATAATCCATAGAGCCTTAATTATGAAACCATGAAATTCTTCAGAATATTCTTGTAATCAGAAATTCCACCCCACTTGTGAAATACACTGAGATGTATCCTTCCCTACCAGCTCCTTCTCTCCCAGCATTTCAATTTACCTCAACCTCTCTGTGAATCATTCACCTTTCATAAGCTTTAAGTTCTTAGGAAACATTTAAATGTAAATCTATTTGAGTTGGCCTCTTTCAGTGGCTTAGTGGTTGCTAACTGAAATGGCCAAAGCCGGGCTCGAGCAGAAAACGGCAAGTTCATTTAACTAATAGCCAACAATTTATAACTAGCTTCATCTGACCTCTTCCTCCGCCGCTGCAGAAAGCTGGCGACGACACACAACTAATGGCCTTTGCCCACCTGAACCGAACTCCCGCCTCCGCCCCCGATTCCCGGGAAGGAAAACTAATCCGCTTAATGTTTTGCCTATCTCCTAAAATATGACCAGCCCCGCCCAGGTCCTGCAGGATACGACAGCCTCCGTATGCCGATTGTGTGTGTGCTGGAACTTCTTCCACTATTGATAAGGCAAAGGAAGTCCAGAAGGCATCGACTTAAACTCCTCGTCGGGCCAACCGAGATAGAAAGAAAGTGCCGGGTAAAAATTGAAATAAAAGTGCTATGCAGTGCGTGAAGAAAAGTTTATCTGAAATAACTTAAACAGCCCCAAAGACGGAGCATGTTGATAATGCGATAAGCAGTTCGTGATGGGAAATTATGAAATGAGGACCAGAGCCTACATGTGAGTCTGCTAATTAACTAAATTGAAGCAAAACTTTTGTCTCTGAGGCTCAAAAGGCACCGGCTAAAGCTGCGGGAATGGGAAAACATTTGAACATTCTCGATACCCTCGATGGTGTCAGCATTTACTTTTACAGGGCAACTTAAAACAAAAATTAAAAATTCAAATTACTTTTTTAAAGAAACAACTTACGTGCTTTCAAAAATTCTATTTATCTGAAAAAAATAAAAACAAATTATTAAAAAATGCAATATTTTGGTAATATTTGTTATATTATGGCACTAGTCATAACTAGTAGATTTATGCCTGTAATTACTGTCTGTAATCATAAGGACCAAATAGTAGTATGTATTCTATGGTATATTGGCAATTTAAGGCAAAACTTATGCAGTTGACTGCTATAAGCTTTCGCCATATAAAACTCCACCTCGAATTTTGTATAAATCCTCCTTTTAAAGGTAAGGTAAGTAAGTATAATAAGGCAATAATAAATATCTTAATTAAATTCAATTTTTGTTTAAATTTATATTGCAAATCTACTTTATTTTTGATTTTTACGCTTAAAAGTTGTGATTAACGGCTATTTCGTAAGTCTACAAATAGTAGTCACTCAAAGAATTTTGTTGAGCAAGACTTTTTATTAATTTCATTGAAGTAAATGCCGTATAAAGCCATCGAATTTGAACTTTATACTCTTCCAAATTGTTTTAAAGTTCTTTGATGAGCTTTTCCTACTCTCGTTATTTCTGACAGTACTTTTAAATTCAATAGTTATTGATTTTAGATGTTTTTTATTATTGCGTTATCATCCTGCGCAGATTCACGGGTTATTTTGGGGTTGAAGCAAAAGGCAACATAGAGATTGATTAAAATGTTAGTTTTAAAGTTTTTTAAAGAACTGAAGGTAGTGCGACACGACTTTATTTAGAAATAAGTTGATTATCGCGATAATCAAAGTACATAGTCATCCTCCAATTTTAAAAAATTGGAATTGAAACGGTTTGCGAGATATTAAAAAGAATACCTTTCAGTCGTTAAATATAATTTTTCTTAATTTCAGAATAAAATTTGTTTACTGTCTCTTGCTTTAGTTTGTTTAAACCAAGTATTAATCGTGTTTTCTTTTACAAAATATAAATATAAATTCCTTATTTTTTACAAAAGTATTAACCTACTTCTCATTCTTAAGTTATATTTTGAACAAATGTGTACACAACTTATCTCATCATTTCCTTGATTGACTACTAAGACCGTAACCCGCTAATCCAGCCCCCAATTGTTCCCACATTATGTGCTCCCAGACCGGCAAACCCAGTTCGGCTACCCCCTCCCCTAAAATGGACTACCCACACACACGCTCACCACATTAAAGCGAGCAGCTGCGAAATCGCTTATGAAGCTTTAAATGTGGCACGAAAAGCGCGACCCCGAAATTTCCGTTGCATACTTTGCTGCGCCCAGACTCACAGAGGTGTTTTCATACATATGCATGAATGTACTTTCAGGATGTATATCTGGGTGTATGAACGCTTCGCTCGCTTATTTAATTTGCCACAAAATTGTATACACAAAGCCAAAAAATAAAACGAAACCAAAAAGTTGAAAAGGCTATGAAAGCAAATTAAAAACTTTTAGCCCGGAACTGAGCGAAGTCAAAACCCCAAGCGGAATACACCAGTAGTTTTTGTTGTGTCGACTCTTGCTTTGCTGCATTTAGGATATTTATATTGTGCTGCCGGTTAATGGAAATTTGTTGACTTGACACAACGGCTCAATAAACAACCGATTTAAACTACTAAAGATACATAGATACATGTGTAAATATGTCAAATGATGATTTATTTATTTAAACGTAACGAAGAAAAAGTACATAACAGCTATAAAATATAAATTGTGAAAAGGCATATAAGCTAAAGCTTATTTATTTCTTCTGTGGTTACTGGCATAAAGTCCAAAAGAAAATTCGGTTAAAGAGGTCAAACCTTACGAATATAAATATCTTTAAAAAATGGTATAAAGTATATAGAATACATATATAATTATACACAGTGGCGGATTCAGGACTTGGTTGTGGGTAAAATATAAAAAATGAGTAAACGTCAAAAAAATTTAATAAAATATGTACATACTTTAATTGTAATACCCTATAAATATTTTTTTGTTTTTACTTTTCAACCCGAGTGGGGGGATTATCCCCCATAACCCCCCGTGGATCCGCGCATGTATATATATAACTGTTAAAAAGGTTTTTCGTTATTTCAAACGACTATATCTGAACTACAATTGTCTTTTAAATAGTCCATTTAAGACAACAGTAATATACAATTTTGACCAACCCAAAATTTATAATTTTAGTCACTTATCTGGTTAAGCTGAAACCCTTAAGAAATAATCAGTCAAAATTATATTTTTTTTAAAGAAACATTTCCTTAAAAATATAAATAATCACTGTTTATTCAACACAGGCAAATTCATGAAATGATATCAGCAGAGGGGTCAGATTATTTAAATTGATATGTATTTATATGTGCTATCGATTTATTTAACGTTCTTTTACCACCCACGATATTTCTTTTCATAAAATGATTTAATGAAATACGCATAGCATAAGCCCAATAACAGTTCATATTTTTATACCCGTTACTCGTAGAGTAAAAGGGTATACTAGATTCGTCGGAAAGTATGGAACTGGCAGAATCAAGCGTTTCCGACCCCATAAAGTATATATATTCTTGATCAGGATAACTAGCCGAGTCGATCTAGCCATGTCCGTCTGTCCGTCTGTCTGTCCGGATGAACGCTGAGATCTCGGAAACTATAGGAGCTACAATACTTGGATTAGGCATGCAGATTCCTGAGATTCCTGCGCAGCGCAAGTTTGTTTCAGCAGAGTGCCACGCCCACTCTAACGCCCACAAACCGCCCCAAACTGTGTCTCCTACAGTTTTGATGCTAGAATAGAAATTTTAACTGAAATGTATTGTTCTCATCAATACCTATCGATTGACCCAAAAAAAAGTTAGCCACGCCCACAAACTTCAAAAAATCGTAAATATGAACGCGGATATCTCGGAAACTATTAAAGATAGAGAAATGGGATCTCAGATTTAGCCTTGTACGCAGCGCAAATTTGTTACGCGAATATCCCACGTCCACTCTAACGCCCACAAACCGCCCAAGCCTGTGGCGCCCACATTTTTCATGCTAGATAAAAAAGTTAACTGAAATGTATTAGTCTCCTCAGTAGCTATCGATTGATTAAAAAAAAGATTGCCACGCCCGCTCTAACGCCCACAAACCGACCAAAGCTGTGGCGCCCACAATTTTCATGCTAGATATACAATTTTAACTAAAATGTTTTGGTCTCGTCAATACCAATCGACTGATTCAAAAAAAAGTTTGCCAGGCCCACTCTAACGCGCATAACGCTTAAAACTGTCTAACGCCCACATAACCATATATTGAGATCACGGGTAGGTGGCGCATTTCAATCTCGCTTTGCTGCTTGCATATCTTCATTTCCCTTTGGTCCCATTAGCTGAGTAACGGGTATCTGGTAGTCGAGGTACTCGACTATAGCGTTCTTCCTTGCTTGTCTTTAGGCATTTTGAAATATGAAAGCATTTTGTTTCCCTTGCAGAAAAAGAGCCTCATAGGTGTCTTATCCCAGTCCCAGTCAAAGTAATTTGAGAATTTCAGTGCGGTAACATTTAGTTTCCAAATTTGACTTCAGTTGTGCACAATCAATTGCGAAGTCAGCTCATGAATATTTATAAATCAGTTTCATATACACACCAGAAGCGAGTATGTGGCAAAGGCGCCTCGAATTGACCAGCCCACCTTGCCTCACGCCACCCCCTCCGATAAAAAGGAACCTCAAAAGCAAATTCAATTAACCCTACAGACCGTAGAGAGCATAAGCAAATACACTCAACCAATACAAATACGACGACCGAGACAGACAAACCGAACTCCCCTTCCGGCTGCCGGTTCCCCGCCCCTGGGAACTCCGTTTGGGCCTCCTCCGGACTAAGGCACGCGCCAACTACTACAAATCCTCCTCAGAGCCAGTGGCGCCCGGGACGCGGGGGGCTGACCAACCGCAAGGACACAAAGTAACTAATTATCTCGCCTTAACCCCTTGCCAACAGCTTCCTGCTGTGTTTACTCAGCACACCACCCCTCTAAAGTTCTCCTGCCGCCTCATCGCACGTGGTTGGGAAACCGACCCAAAAAGCGGAAAGAAAGCTGGGGAAAATTGAATGCAAACCCGATATGTTTTTCACATTTGAATGGACAATGGCCAGCCGGACCGGAAAGGGGAACTTCAAAAAATAAATGCAAATGAAATGTGTCAAATGCTGACACATGCCGCGCCTGAAACTGGAACTCTTGGGTTAGGTAAAAAGCGAAGGGTTGAGGTGTTGCAGGGATGCCCGAGGAAAGGAAACCCTGCCTGAAACAGGGATCTCGTCTGGGCAAGTGGGACTTTTCACAGCAATCACCGGCTGAATGAATATTTATCGATAACAAACCGAAAACACCTAACCCCGACCCCAAAGTCGAGCAGCCGAACTTCAATTCCATTTCCACTCAACACAACGTCAAACAAGCGAAATTGGGTGAGGAGTCGGGAGTTCTTGTTGGTTCTGGAGTAAGCCTTCCATCCTGCGAGCAGGAGGAAGCCCAAACACTGGCCAGACCTCCGTCTGCAATCTCGAACCGGGATGGATGGATGGATGCCAGCTATTATTTGGACAGCACTCGTGGCGCGTACACGAAATGAACATGGCCAACTACATCGCAGGGTGTGCGGGTCTGATTTAGGAGGATTTCCACGTTGGCAAATGGCACGAGCCATTGAGCTAACGATCGAAGTTGTATCTCGCACGCATGTTTTGTATCTGCAACTCCAAGCGCAGCACTGCAAAAAAAACTACTCTTATGAAAGGGGCCATATGTAAAACTGTATTTTAATGTACTTATTAAAATATAAATCCCTTTTTAAAAAAGCTTTATCTTAATTGACAATTTTAGGTAAAATTTATGTCAAATCAAAATATATTTTTCTGATTTTAGGTGATCTTAGTTCTAGAAATATTAAAAGAAACTTTCCAAAGCCGTATGTTTTAAGTTGAATTGTCAACTTATTTCAGCATTCTTTATTTCGAAATATATTTTTTGTAAATAACTAATACCTATTTTCACAAAAAAT